AGAAGATAAACAGATTCCACTGGATAAAAATTCGAAGAAGATAGAGAGAAATTTCTCGCTCCATTCTCATGGAAACCACTGCAAATTTCTCCACTATGGCTTCCCGCCATTTCTCACCTTCGCTCCACAAAGTAACCCTCAGATTTCCCAACAAAATCTCTTCCTGGACCGGCTCTAGTCACTCCCTCTCTTTCTCTTCAAGAAATTCATTACCTGTAAGCCACAAAACCATAATTATCGCTTAGTTCTTGGATTATTAACAATTTAAGTAATTTTCCTCTAGTTTATGCAGAGGGAGCTATGGGGAGTGATCAATTCGAATAATGGTGTTACTGTTAGGAGGGAAATGAGGGGAGTTGTGAGGGCTGAAATGTTCGGTCAGCTCACGAGCGGACTGGAATCTGCTTGGAACAAACTCAAGGGAGAAGGTTTTTTATTTTTAGTTTTTTTTTTCCCTTCTATTGTTTCTCCGTCATTTTAGTTTCCATCGTGCGTCTTCGCTGTTCTAAACATGAGTGGCTAAACACTTACACACACAAATTGGCCTGGATTACATTGTCTTCTTTGAATGTCTTCTAATAGCAATTGGAATTCAGTAAGAGTTAGAATCTCATTAATTGGAAGGAAAAGGAAGGCTCCAATGGGGATATATCAGAGTCTTGAAATCCAATCTTCACATTTACAATGCCACAATCCTTCCATTCACTAGGAAGTAAAACTGAAAGCTGACATCAAAAATGAAGTTGGGCGTGCACATGACTTACGCATTTCAGAAAAATCATGCCCCGCAGGAGATTTTTGTGCCTTCTTATTCCAAGAGGAAGTATCAATATAAGGAAAGCACTTGGTTTTTACTTCCCAAACTTAAGCCCAAAGCCCTTTTTATACTCTATTTCAGCAAAAAGTTCTCTTCACAATTCCACCTACTGGTATCTTAGGCATTCCTCGGGCACCCAACGAATTTGTCCTAATCCCTAAGCCATTCCATGCGTCTTAGTACCTCAAATACTGTGTGTCACGGTTATTGTGGCAGGTTTATTTATGAGTGAAAACACTCCTCAAGTAAATATAGCAACAAATGCTAGGATTTGCTGGCACATATTAATTTATACTTCATTTCAAACTCCAAGAGTTTCGGTGAGACTTTCCATGTCCAAATAGTATTTGAGGTTTAATGAGGTACTTTCTGAAGAAATATGTCAAAAGTCACATGTTTTACCTAATAATTGTGAAGTGAAAGGATGTAGAGGCCTGGTAAATCAAGGGTGTAAGTGTCAGTCTACTTTTTGCGAGTAAAAGTGTGATGTAGAATCTTGGTACACAGTTGTGTTACAGATGCATGTACTAGACTAATTGTAGAGGTTGACATTCTCTCACTAAATCATACTTGATACATAATATGTTGTGAGTGAAATAAGTCTCTACAGTTAGAGAGTTTGAATTGGTGTGTAAAAAATCACACGTTCTTTTAACATACATGTAGTTGACGTAGAGTCACATGCAAATAATGAAGATCAACTAAATAATGCCATTTATAACATGTCTGAGAATTGGGTGCATGAAAACAAATGGTGTTTATAACACACGTGTCAAAAGTTTGTGTAGTTATGTGTTTTTGACAGCCGATAAATTGAAAATTAGGATAAGAGATACTGAATTTTTCTAATTGAATCTTGCAATAAGCGATGACCTTGAAATAACTTTAGTTTTATGAAATTAAGGCTAGTTAGAACTGCTAAATCAAAAGCAATGTGTTCTCAGTTACTAGGAGGAAAATATGCCTTTTAAAATATGAGTGCACAATATCCTTGAGACTTGTATGAAGCAGAGGGCATATATTCTTTTCATGCTGTCTTTTAGAATTGAAAATTCTTGAATAACATCCGAATCTGTCGATATATTATTTCTTGGCAGTTGGCTCCCATCGCGTGTTTAATACTGTTTACTGGTAGATAATTCCAAGTAACCTGATATATGCATCTGGTGAAAAACTAGAGTGGTAGTAGTGCTTGGACTTTATAAAAACATTGAAAATCATTTTAACTAATTGATATGGAACCAGTTCTTTCTCATGTTATCATTTGGTGTGAGTAATTTATGTAAGAATAAAGAAACAAGAGGCATAAAAGTTTGCAATGGGTAAAATTGATTACAAGAAGAGTCGAATAACACAATGCAATAACGTACTGAGAAATGAGCGAAGAACAGATAAACTAAAAATGGAAGAGCTCAATTGGGCAAAAAGACAAAACGAATCCGAAGAACTAGTTGAGAGATGGGAGCTAAAGTCAACTAGATGATTTTGAGTTAAGAAAATTCTGTAACCTGAAAGGTGCAAGGTTGCTGATGGGCCTTCAAACTCAAGCTTAATACCATCTAAAATAATCTAATCCGCAACCTTAATACAATTAGTGAAGTTACCAGAGGACCGCTTTTTATTAAACAGTTCAGGGCAATCCTTGCATAATAGAAACTGCATTTTTGTTAACATACTTTTCTTTACTTTGTATATGCTTGCTGCTTATGTGGTGTCTTTGGTTTAGCACATGATTTGGAAGTACCTTGCTCTTACCTTTGCCTTTCCTTTTACTATTAATATTCATGAAATAGAGCTATTAATGTTATTTGTAAATAGTAATAACTGACTTCTTTACATTTCAGAGGTCTTGACCAAGGAAAATATTGCGGAACCTATGAGAGACATCAGGAGAGCTCTGTTAGAAGCTGATGTAAGTGTCTCTATATCATAGTAATTGTATTAATATCTAATTGGCTTCTCACATATATGGGGCTACAACTTCTGTTGACAGGTCAGCCTTCCTGTTGTAAGAAGGTTTGTTCAAGCTGTAAGTGACCAAGCAGTTGGTACTGGCTTAATTCGAGGAGTGAGACCAGATCAGCAATTGGTTAAGGTATGCGTACTCATTGGCGATCCCATTGTACTACAATTTTAGATTTTAACATCTTTGTAGCTTTATACCTAAAGCTTACATACCATTGTTTTTGTGGAGTCTTTGTGTTGCTGATAGCCTTCTCTCAATAACTCTACCACGAGTGAGGTCTTGCTAGAACTATTGATAATGAAGATCTTGGTTTATTATACCCGAATTTCTTATTCGATATTTTGCCATTATTTGGAAAAGGAATTATTAGAGTAACCCATTTTTTTCCTTCTTCACCCCCAACCCAATTCATCATCAGAGATATTATTAGCGAGATAAGTTTGTGAAGTTGTTTGATTTATTAGCGTTAGATCTTTGAACTTTCATAATATACCCAAATGAGTTGATGAGTAAATTTTTGAATTGATAAAATGTATGACAAAAGGGGTCTATTCATAAATGATGGTAAATATTGCTTGTTAAAATTGAATATTATGATGCTGGAACTGTTTTAAATTGACTTCTGATTGATGCAGATTGTAAAAGATGAGCTAGTGAAACTAATGGGAGGAGAGGTTTCTGAGTTGGCATTCGCAAAATCTGGTCCAACTGTAATTTTATTGGCTGGGCTGCAAGGTGTTGGAAAGACGACTGTCTGCGCAAAGTTAGCATTATATCTTAAAAAGCAGGTGCTTGTTCACACATCCATCTTTCTATACTCAATCCCCGTCTTGAAATCTGTAAAGCAGCATATACTTGCTTCACCTTACTCAAGCTATGCTTGCATAAATTACAGGGGAAAAGTTGCATGCTAATTGCTGGAGACGTGTATAGACCTGCTGCAATTGACCAACTAGTTATTTTAGGTGAACAGGTAATTTGATCTTTCCAGCAGGGGCATGCTTTCTCTGTCAAATTTTTCTAGATACCAAGATGAATTTCTATAAAGTATTAACTAGCAAGCCCGCGGATGGTTTACCACCGTTAACTATTTGGTTCTCTCTAGAAGTTAAAAGGCAAAGGAGATCTAGTTCGTCTAATGGAATAACATAAATCAGTGACCATAGATCTACTTCCTAAGTCTGCAGCTGAAATGAAAGTTGTGTGAAAAGAGGAGCGTCACAAAATAATATTTAGACACGATTAGAAAAGTCATCAGCTATATTTTCTCTTCACATTCGCCTTCTTTATTTTACTTGGGAGTTAGAGAATATTGATAAATGTCTCATTGTAGCCATTTTCAGACCATTGAATTTTTTTTTTGAGTTATACGAACCACAGAGTGTGCTCAAATAACTTTTGCAACAAGTCTAGCAATTAGCTGTCTGAGTCTTCTGTAGATCTATGTACTTGTGTAATTTGTGGATCTCAAGCCACCAATCCAGCAAAAAATGTTATCACTTTCATGTTTCAGATACACTTGTATGGTGTCCTGCAATTTGTCTTGATTTTTCACTTCAGTAAAAGTTACCTTAGTGTGATGATTTCCATAAGAGCTGTAAGTGAATCTCCTTGTAAGTAAATAGGATGGAAATTTCACTTTGATGAAGGTGTTATTGAAGAAATTGTATTACTAAAACATGTTACGGGCATTGTTCAATAATGAACCTTGTTCCCAAATTTAAAACCTTCCTTTCATTTTAATGTTCAGACTCATGCAATTCATTCTCTTACTCACTGAGAAGTTTTAAACAGGTTGGGGTGCCTGTTTATGCAGCAGGAACTGAGATTAAACCTGCTGACATAGCTAGGCAAGGTTTGGAAGAAGCTAAGAAGAAGAATGTAGATGTGGTGATAATGGATACAGCTGGAAGACTTCAGGTCATATCACCGTGGCTGTGATAACTCCATGATAAGTTCAGTGATAGTGATGTCTTTTTTCAACTAAATGCCAAATGTTTGATCTGTTTCTTATCAGATTGATAAAGGAATGATGGATGAATTGAAAGAAGTGAAGCGAGTATTAAATCCCACAGAAGTTTTGCTTGTAGTGGATGCAATGACTGGCCAAGAAGCTGCTGGTATGTGTGCTTATTAAATAGTCAGAAAAATTTCAGTAGTATATATGGCCTTTGTAGAAATGTTGTGACACCTGTAGTGCAAGCATGTGCAGTCCCTTTGATGTGGAGATTATTCTCGTGCTGTCGTATTCGTTAATGTAATGGTTTCTTGGACTTGAGCTTTCAATGCATAGCAGAAATCTCACTGCAAATGTGTAGTAATTTGTTTTAACCAGATTTGGTACTTAAGCACCGATGGTCATGGTTAAGATATACGCCCCCACATAAATTAAGTATATGGGCCTTTAAGGCGTCTCCATTTAACACCAATTAGTTTTGAGATTCTTGATTTAACAGTCACTGTATTCTGCACTGGACATGAAAGTGTTGGTTATCTTCTTAAGATCTCTTCTTTGCGACTTATAAGTTTCATTGATGATATTGTAGCCTTGGTCACGACATTCAATGTTGAAATTGGAATTACTGGTGCCATTTTAACAAAGCTAGATGGGGATTCTAGAGGTGGAGCTGCCTTGAGCGTGAAAGAGGTCAGGCTTCATTTTCCTTAAATTTATCTCTCCTACTCTATTTCATCTTCTTGGAAGAAACTGATTCGTGAATAGCAATTCAGGAAAAAAAAATTATTTTCTTTCCAAGAGATGCAACTCTTCTCTTTTTCTTTTGCTATTGCATGGAAACCCAGAGGACATGCATTATCAGGTGAATTTAGAAGAAATGGAAGAAGATTATTAGTGAGTTAAATAAATTTGAGGAACTTATATTCAAAATTAAGACTCCATGGACTAAACAACATAAAAAGAGGGAAGAACTAAAATGTAATTGTATAGGCAATGACATCTTACCTGTGAAACACCCTAACCATAATATTATCCAGGACTGGTGTTGTGGTCATTTAAGCGTCAACATCAGTGTCACTTTCTACGTGGTGTTTTCTAGAGTTTCACTTTGTCTGATACTTATTGAACGTTGTGGGGGTGAATTAAGAAACCAATTGGTCGTATATGTAATTAGTTTTAAATTCCAACAAAACTAGCAGAAGAAGCCTGATTTAATATTGTTGTTCCCAATAGTTCTGGGGTCCTAAATTGAAGAAAATTATTTAGGTTTTGGTTCTCTGACAACTGTAAATCTTCTAATTAGGGAAAGTTCTTTGTTTTTTAATTCCAAATATCAATTGGAGCATGACAGGTATCAGGAAAGCCGATTAAACTTGTAGGAAGAGGTGAGCGTATGGAGGACCTTGAACCTTTCTATCCAGATCGCATGGCGGGGCGTGTCTTGGGAATGGGTGATGTTCTATCATTTGTGGAGAAAGCCCAAGAAGTCGTGAGTACCGATCAATATGAATTTCTTTTATTTCTTACAAAATTTACTATTTGATATGACTCTGCAAGATTTGAGCAGATGCGCCAAGAAGATGCCGAAGAATTGCAGAAGAAGATCATGAGTGCTAAGTTCGATTTCAACGATTTCTTGAAGCAAACTCGTGCTGTTGCACGTATGGGTTCCGTGTCTCGCGTTATTGGTATGATTCCTGGCATGGGGAAGGTATAAAACCAGGTTTTTACTAGTTTATTATTCTTGTAACTATTTTCCAGAGCAACAGAATTTCATTGCCTAAATAGTCTTCTGGAAAGCTTGACCTCTGTGTATTTCTCCAAAAATAATAAACCATGGGGAGCCAATGAGCCATTATAGCAAGGTGGGCCACTTTGGAACTATAAGGGGATAATCGAACATTAGGAAAAACACGAGTTTAAATTCTTTTTACTGCTTAAAAATATTGAGAGGCATTACCAGTATCCGGATCAGAAGCATGATCAAATCTCCAAATTGTTGGTGTTCAAATAGGTCACTCCTGCCCAAATTCGAGAGGCAGAAAAGAGTTTGAAAGTAATGGAGTCAATGATCGAGGCAATGACCCCAGGTAATTTCTCTTTGTTATCTCAGGAGCAATTCGTTTTGGAAGAAAATAATACTAGCATCTTTACCTGCCTAGTGTTATTATCCAATCTTAAAGTATTGCTCTAATTTTTTCCAAAATAAATAAAATGTCTTCGGGCAAAATGAGTGCATAAACGGATGAGATGAAGACAATCTCATTATCTTCTGGGCTTCATAATCCTCATCAAATAAAATTTCACTACCAATCCTCGTAATAACATTTGATTATGGCAATACTAATACTTAACAAAGAATTCAGTGTTCCTGATGTATATTATCTGAAATGGTTTCAAGACAAGTCTGCTTTACCAATTTATATGCAGAGGAGAGGGAGAAACCAGAACTCTTGGCCGAATCAGCTACTAGGAGGAAACGAATTGCTCAAGAATCTGGGAAAACTGAGCAACAGGTATTCAGAGAGGGAGCACAACAATAATGTAGATGGCCTGAAAGGAAAAAGCTATTTCTTTGTTTTCCCAGGAATTCAAATGTTTGCAGCATACTGATATGTTGTAGTAAAATCAATTTTCAGGTGAGTCAACTTGTTTCTCAACTTTTCCAAATGCGCGTTCGTATGAAGAATTTAATGGGTGTAATGGAAGGTGGATCACTTCCTGCATTGAACAATCTGGAGGAGGCACTCAAATCTGAACAGAAGGTGCTTGTGTTTTTTGTATATTCCATCTTGCACTTCATCGTGAAATTCCAGTCTTACAATTTTTAGTTCTAAAAACTGGTCAAGTATGTTCTTCTATGTATTGATCTGTTTAGTGTTCACAATGGCTGTCCCGCTATTACTATGTTTTATATGAATTCCCTCAATATGGTGGCTGAATGTCATACTGCTGCTTAGTCACAAAGTTAAGCTGATCTTAGTTTTGTGAATACGGTTCAAATGACTAAGATGTAGTTTTTCTCCGTCCTTGAATCAGGCTCCACCTGGCACTGCAAGGAGAAAAAGAAGGTCAGAATCAAGGAGGCAATTTGCAGACTCGTCGGCAAGACCTAGTCCTCGTGGTTTTGGGGCCGGGAACTGAGATTAAAAGTTTCAAATTCAACATTGCAAGACCCTTAAAGCTCGATGTTCATATGATTTGTTACTGTTCTTACGGGTCCATTGTTGCTCAGAAGTAAACTGAAGAATTTTTTCATCAAGAATTTTCGTATTCCTCCCCTTTTTTCTCCTGAGAAAAAGGGACTGCTGGTGATAGAAGTTGCTGAAGGTCATGATAAATTTTGATGAGAAATCAAGTGCATAGTTGTAGTTGTGACTTGGGAGATTCAGTGTTGAAAATTGGTTTCTTATTTTGCTGCCATGGGCCTTTCTTATTAACTTATGATACAGTGCTTTTTCCCCAAAAAAAAAACAAAATTATAACAAATAAATAAATAAATAAAAACTGTGTAGTCTACTTGAATTTGTTGCTAATAATAATTGTTATGATGGATGTCAGTTAAGTGCCTGTTTTACCATCAAGACTAACTGTGATGTGATATAACTGGAGAATTATTTTGAAAATTTTTGGCAGGAACACCAAACTCAAATAACAAGGAAATAGCCAAACATTTACAGTCACAAGGGGCCAGTTAATTGCAAGGCCCTAGTGGCTCTGTACACCAAGCAAGACCCAAAACGCAAAGGGTTACTCTCCTTTACCAAGGCCACATGGGCCCCTGTGATGACAGAGTAAACGCAGAACTACCTAAATATAATATATTAAGAATTTTATTATTTGTACATCAAAATGGTACATGAGCGATTACCGAAAATGATGTGAAGGGAAAGGATTGAATAAAAAAGTTCATAGTTGTGCTTGTCCCGCCAATGCTTGTAATGACTTGATAAAATACATTGAAAAATTTGAACTCAATGTTACAAAATAACAAGAAAATGTAGCGGACTTATTACATGATTTTGACATGATAGATACTAAGTACGGATTATACCCGATTCTTGCCCAAGGCCACAGCTGGGCCTCAAAAAAATGAACATTGCTGCACTTACACACCTTGGTACACAACTTTCTTACATGTGTGTGGGTCCCACAATGTGAGCCCCATTGTGGCCCCACACACATGTGAGAGGGTTGTGTACCAAGTGTATACGAGTAGCATTTTTGCAAAAAAAAATTTGAAAGCTCAAAGACAGTTATTATTTGTGAATTTTTTTTGCATTAAATATTTTCATGAAGATGTAGTAGTGTAAATAAAGTAGAAGGTTGTCTCCCTACCCAATAATCTTTAAATCTATGTTCTAATTGCTGCTTTTGAATTTTTTATTTTTAAATATAAAATATCTAGAACAATAAATGATACACCACCCTATACCTCACTGGTTTCCAAAAGCCCTTCATATTCTATTTTTTGAATACAAAAATTGATTCTTGGACGATTCAAACACTAAGTGAGTACCGTAGGTATAATATTTGTCATCATAAGAAATTGTTTGATTCGGCCATATTTGATGCTAATATGCTTGTTAAAAAAAAATTATGTGTTGTATCCTCATGATAATTTATCATCTAAAGCATCAAAATTTCCAAGATTGACCCTTTATTTATAAGATCATGGATGGGTACAATAATAAATGCAAAATCTATTTTGTTTTTGTTTCATGATTGACGTGGAAATAAATGATGAATTTAGCAAGCTTATAAATAGGCA